GCGGGCCCGGGAGGAAAAGGCCGCCACCGCCCTCCAGGCGTGGTACCGGGCGCACAGGGAAGTGCGGAGATACCGCCACGTCCGAGCTTGCGTCGTCCTCATTCAGGCACGATTTCGGGGCTTTCGAGCCCGAAAGCTGTTTCAGAGGAAGCAGGGCCGCGAGAGCCCGGGGTCAGCGCAGACAGACTCAGGCGGCCTGCGTGCTCCAGGCGTATTGGCGAATGAGACGAGAGAGAGCTCGGTTTCTAAGCCTCAGGCAAACGGTCATCAGATTGCAGGCGCTCGTAAGAAAACATCATCAGCTGCAGAAATACAGGAAGATGAAGAGCGCCGCCCTCGTGATTCAGGTCCATTTTCGCGCTTACGTTGCAGCCAGGAGGGCCCGAGCGTCCTACCAGGAGACGCGCGCTGCGGTGCTGGTGCTGCAGGCTGCGTGCCGGGGGATGCGGGCCCGCAGGAGGTTCCGTCTCGCCCGCACATCCGTGGTGAAGATCCAGTCCCACTGCCGCGCGTGCATCGCCAGAAGGAGGTTTCTGAGCCTAAAACACGCCGCAGTTCAGCTGCAGTCCATCGTGAGGATGAGACAAGCCCGTGCACGGTACTTACGGTTAAGAGCGGCCGCCCTGTTCACCCAGCGGAGGTTCCGGGCCCTGAAGACGGCCGCGCGGAGGAGGGAGGAGTACCGGCGGGTGCGGGCAGCCTGCATCCGGCTGCAGGCCTTCGCCAGGGGGCACCTGGTCCGCAGGCAGCTGCGGCTGCAGAGTTCCGCTGCTGTCACCCTGCAGTCCTGCTTCCGCATGAGAGAGGCGCGGCGGCGCTTCCTGCGGGTGCGCAGCGCGGCCCTGGTCATCCAGAGGGCCTACCGCGCGCGCCAAGCACGGCTCCGCCGCAGGAAGCGCTGGCAAGTGCTCAGGGCAGTGACCCGCCTGCAGGCAGCTTACAGAGGCTACCGAGCTCGCCAGCTCCTCCGGCGCCGGTCCACGGCCGCGTGTAAAATCCAGGCCGCTTTCCGAGGCCACAGGGAGCAGGTGCGGTTCCGGTCCGTGCTGCGGTCTGCCGTCACGATCCAGAGGTGGTACCGGGCCCGCAGGACAGCTCGTGACCTGAGGGCGCAGTTCTTCAGGGTGAGGACAGCTGCGCTTTCCCTCCAGGCTGCCTGTCGTGGCTGGAAAGTGCGGGCGCGGATCCGCAGGGAGCAGCAGGCAGCGCTGACGATTCAGGCCGAGTTCAGAGCGGCCCAGGCCCAGAGGCAGTTCCGAAGGCTGAGAACAGCTGCGCTGGTCCTGCAGCGACGTTGGAG